CTGTTTCTCCTCCTCCTACACTGCTCAAACTTGTGTTGTGTGTGTTTTGTAGCCGGCTGGGGATCTCCTCCCCTCTGTGGACTTGGAGGTACTTTGTCACAGCTCATTGTAGGAACTCCTGGAAAATTAATTCCCCCCTCAAGAGTTTGACTTCAGATGTTGCACATTAATAATCACTATGGCCTCGCAAGAGTCTACGTCGACAGCAATCATGTGCTGACAAGAGGGAAGTTGTGCTGGGAGTTGTTGGAAATGTATCACGGATTAATCGTATCTGGCACAATGGTAATGCTGAGGAATGAAAAGTGTTTGCGTTTTTTAAATCAATATCTCGCATTAATTCAGAGGACTGGTTTCAGAAGCGGAGGATGTTGTTGCTTTGATGATATCTAGAGTTTCCCTACACTTCATCTTACTAATTTGGCCATAACTTCTGATTATGTTGAGATCCCTTTCATGGTTTTAATTAGAACAAAAATACAACATGCACCTAATTAGTGCAAGTTGTGTTAGATGTTTTAAAAGCCTTTTTCTTTTTGATGCAAAAACAGCAGCAGCAGTGTGTAGGCAAGGCAGCTTGCTGGTTCGACAGAGCCTTATGTAACCGAGAGGTCACAGGTTTGACCCTCACCACAACAAGTGTGCGCTAACAGCTGTGCGCTTTTGCACTGTGCCCTTGAGCAAAGTAACCTCGCCTCTCCTGAAGTCATGTTAAAAAAGAATGATCGAAATGCAATAAACAATGTTGTGTTTTAAATGTAAAACAGGAAGGAATTGAATTTAAAGCTTCAGTTATTCACTTTTTGTTGAAAATCTGTTGTAGAATTTCTTTTTGTGCATGCCCCATTTTGCTCTGAAGTTGTTGGCAAAACTCTATTCAAACATTTTCCCTCTAATTGGGTGTTTTTGTGGATGCAGGATTAATCAGCCGCGGGGTATTTAATGTTGTTTGGGCAGCTGAGAGGTAATACAGCCAAGCCATTAACATATCATTAAAGAGTCCTAAGCACTGTAATTGCAGCCAGAACGCTGACGCTACACTCTCATTAAGTGGACTCTAAGAGGAGACGTCTCGTTGTGATGGGTTTTAGTGAGATGTTGGGGAAAAAATCTGTATAACTCAGCATGCTGCTGTCACAATGAGAAGTCCAGTGAGCAAAGATTGTTTCCAAAATGGCATGCAGGCTGATGAAAGGCACCCAACTTTCACCAATCGGCTGCTACAAACAGGTTTTTAGCCATTTTAGCTGCATGACTCCATGTATTGCAATGCTGGTCCTCTGGTCAGTCCATCGCTTGAGTCCAGGTGGAAACACCGCACAAAACTGTCAGTGTTTCAAACATGATGAAACCCATTGACTGATAATTCACTAGCTGAAATGAAAACACATCAAATCACCATAAAACCAAGTAGAATACTCAAAGGACTACAGCCAAGTCGGTGATCGACTCCAGCCTGACGAAAAAGAACAAATATTTCGTGTTCATGGACACAAATTGCAGATTTGTTTTTATGTCAGTGAATTAGAAAGCGATGTATCTCAAAAGGAAGTATAGGCTATTTCGTGTGTAGAGAAAATGGAAAGGTGTGACCAAGGCAACCAAGAAACAGAGCTTTTAAAGATGTGCCAACCATAAGCACCAACATCTGCCACGAAAAGCGTCATTATACACAATTATACCGTCACCATTTGACCATACTTTCCTTTTTTTGTCTTTCATGTATATGTACATGAATTGGTATATACAAGAGCTGAAAGAACAGGAACTTATGTTCGGGGACAGGAAACAATGTGTTAAGGAACGTGAAAAGCAAGACTGTAAATTTCACCACAGTTTTGTAAACTAATCATTTCAGTCTGTACTAAACTGTGTACTATTTGTTTGTAAATGTACAATATCTCATGAACAAATCAAGGAGAATTAATAACTTTAACTAAGTACCAAATTTCCAGTTTATAAACTGAGCAATCCTTACCTTTGAAAATACTATCTTGCTGTTTTCTCCTGTCCTTTCTTTGCTCTTTCTTACGTCTTGATCCATGTCTGACTGCATTTATCACGACTTAAGCATTTTTTAATCCCTGGATTTACAGCATCTGTGTCTTGGTCACTGGGTCTTGGTTGCAGGGTTTTGAGTTGTGTAGTTGCTTGAATCGTTTTAATTTTGAGTATATAACTTATACCAGCATTTCCTGGTTAGTTTCTTATATATTTATATTTTGAGGTTTTAGTTTTACATCTAGTTCTGTTCATGGTTATTTTCTGGGTCATAACAAGTTTTTGAGTTCCTGTGTAATCCTGCCTCCCTCGTGTTTCTGTGTCTTGTTACTTTTAATTTAGGTAATCTTTTGTCTCTTGTGTTTAGTTTTACTTCCTTTTGAGACATTATGTTAGCTGTATTTCCACCCGTTTGCCATTTTTATCGATATCTGCTGTGTGTTTATATTATCAGAGTTTCCCTCTTTTCATTGTCGCATCATCCTCCATGGTTGTGTCCTTCATGAACGTGTTACAGCAATGTGAAAGACAAAAGTATGTATTGAGGGTATAAATGGGCTTTGGGATGACGCTATTTTCTTAATGCTGGTCAAGTATCTCCATGCCTTCCAATGGAGTCGCATTAAATGCCTACCTAATGGCTACAGCAGAGGAAAAATTAACTCTTTGCAGTATTATCTATTAAACTGTCTATTAGATTTGGTTACTCATTAAGCGATGTGCTGGAATTCTATTCTGAATCATGCTCATAGCAAAATGAGCAAACAGTAGCTCTATTTGTCGGTGTGATTGCACTTATACACCCAAAACTACAGCGCTATGTGGTATAAGTATATAAAATTGAGCAGTAGATGACTTTGTATCTGTAAAGGGATGCAAACATTTTTCTTTAGAAGGCTCATTATATTCATGAGGATACCTCCTTGTAACACCATTACTACCATTAGTCTTGAAAGAATCATTTCTACTATGTTGGGAGTTTTTTTCTCATGTGGCCGTCACATTTTGAAAACTGTGGATACCTGCAGACAGTGACAGACCGTGCAACACTTGCTCTTTTCATGAAACTCTTTAAAATCTGCTGAATTTGAGTCTCTTCAGATCTCCTCCCTCACTGAGTCCACCTGCTAAACCCAATGAGCTCATGTCAGTGAACATGAGGAGACATGTCGCTGGAGGATTTAAAGCCAATTAAACAAAAAGATTATGCAAAAGTTTATTAATTAAAAAAAAATCTGATGGATTTTATTCATAAGCCATTTTATTCTCGGATCTAAACGCTATGACAAAATGTCATATTTTGCCCCTGTGCATAAAACTGTGGGATTCTAAAAACTTGTTCGATAATGTTGACTCATCCTCAGTATCTATACTTTGCAGGACTCATCTGTGTCAATATTTGACAGACTTTCTGCTTTAATTACAGATTCCCTTTTGTGCACTCTCCCAAATTTCGGGGATTATCCAATTACTGCTTGCGTGCCGACAAACAAGGGGGCCTCTTTGCCTTTCACTAATTGGAATGAGGAGTGGTGCCAGTGCTCAAAGGGAAGGCCTATCACTGAGAATTATTGAATAGTGAAGGAGTAAAAGGGGTGGGGGTGGGGGTGGGGGGGGAGAGAGAAGGATGTGTGGTCCGCCTTGGGCTGCTTGTGGATTTCCTCTGATTTCATCAGAAAAAAGATGGCTGAGGCGATTCCCCCAGACAACAGCCAGCTGGTGTGTGTAGGCGAGCTTTGCAGCCCAAAATCTCTGAGAAAAGAAAATGAAAGAATCACGCTGTGCCTCTGCAATTCATCCTCTGCATCAGAGTTACCCCTAAACAATCTTTCAGCTCGCCTGCTGTTAGACAACTTTGTGTGATAACATGGTGCAGCAAAAATGACATCTTTATTTTTTTTAATGCGGTTGTGGTGTTATACATATATATGGCAATTTTGTGCCTTAAAGCAGCTTTAACATACTCTGTTAAACAACACAAGCAATTATGGCAGTAATATGCTGATTAAATGGCACTTACTGGCTCTTTATTGAGCATTTCCATACCTCATATCTATCATTAAACCAATTATTGAAGCATATGTACAGTTAAATGTGCTACTAATGTGCTCCTGATTACTACAGCTCATTGTTGGGCAATTGTGGACTTAAAGCAGTCTTGAGTCAAGCTTTTAGCGAATCCAGTAAGAAATTAGGAGTTAAATCATCCCATCTTAATAGAAAAGAGCTCTCCAGAAGCTTGACACACGAAGGATCTAATGCGTGTTTGTGTGTAGATTTGGGCTGAGATTGTGCACAATTTGCAAAACAACACAGAAAAACAAAAAGAGCACGACAGACAAATGAAACGAGAGATATGCGGCAGGTTGAACTGGCGTGATTCATAATTTATTGAGCAGCACTGAGGTTACAACAGGGAACAAATGAAGCACAGAACACAAAAGAGCATTATTTATTACAGGAAAATCAAAGTGTAGCCTGAGGGGGGTGTTGATAAAGTAGAACAACACTCGTACATAACACCTACTGTACACAAACGCACTATATTATTGCAGCTGTCAGATGAAAACCCCATTATGCTGTTGTGGATGATCTTCATGTTTTTACCTGAAACTGGGGATTATGTGACCTTGTATAGGACATATGAAAGCGTTTGCATAATTTAAAGTAAAATGCACGGCTGTCACAATGAAAATTAGGCTGTGCCGTCTTATTTCTCTGATCATTTTGACATTTTTGGAAAGCTGGGGTCTGCACGGCAGTGCAGTCGTAACTGAGCATTGCAGGAAAAGACATACACACCCTTAGGCGAAACAAAGAATGGCAGCAATCTATTCAAACACAACTTCCCCTGCATGTGCCAGTGGTGTTTTAAATAATGCAGACTCTTTCCCATAGATGCCAGGATGGTTGATTCCCACCTTTACATTCCCATGGCCCCCCGCTGGTCTAGGATCAAATCCTCTCTCACCC